GTGAAATGCAGACTATATGCTCCAGCAAAGAAATGAGAGAAAAAAAATTTTAGGGAAATAAAATACTGATTTTATTATAATCGTCACACTTGACTGATTAATCGCTAAATTTGCCATCCATTCATTCTCTACAAAGAACTCTAAGGATAAGTAATAAAATAGCTGTTTGACAACTAAATTGTCTACAAACTAACATAATTACATGAGTTTGGGGAAATTTAATTCCAGTTTTGAGAAAGATGTGGCTAGTCATATGCACTGAAAATTCCCTTTAGAGATATGATCCCAAGAGATTCAGAAGGAATTAACCTCAATTAGCAGCATGATGAAGAAATTATTTATTTCCCCCTGGGCCAGGGCAACTAAATACAAATATATATGACCAAAGTATATTTTTATATTTTGAATCAAGAGAATCTTTCCTTTGTCTAAATATGTTCCAAAACATGTAGAATAAAATATATATTCTAAGTGTAGAATTTTAGAACTGGAAGGGAATTGAATGAATTTTGAGTTTCTTGAAGATTTAATTTTTATCTTCTGTTTTTTTAATCATCTCTTTCAATAGGGACAGAAACTGAAGCCCAGAAAAATTAATTTTTTCATCCAATGTCACACAGTTCAATAGCACAGGCAAGATCAGAGTCTTTGGCTCAAGGTTCAATGTTCGTTTCATTAAGCCAAATTGTCCCATAATATATTAAATGCATAAATAGGATAATGAATGTAGTGGATGCTGTGCTGTGCTTCCTGTGTCTCCCTCCCTCCACCCAAAACACACACACACATTTCACAACTAAAGCCTTCATGTTCCCAGTTGCTGCAAACATTGGCAGCTGACAGCCGTCAAGTAAGTCCTCTCCGAGAATTTCACTCTCCAAAAAATAAAAAAGCCCGTTCACTCAAGGTTACAACCCTCTTCCCGGCAGCTGCCAATGTCCAGTACCTTGTTGATGCAAGAGTGCAAGGCTCCCAACCACTTGCCAACTTGGGGACAACTGTGAAGAGTCATCTCAGCGTCAGATCTCCCTGTGTGACCATCTGAGACTGTTTCATTGCGTAGTTTTGACTTCTCTCTCTGCCAGAACCTGCTCTTTTCGTTCCTCCACAGGCATTGGCTTGAGAATGCTCTCCAATAAACTTTTTGTTTATAGTCTGGGATATTTGTCTTAGAGTCTGTTTTGGGAAACCAAACTACAACAACAAATGTAAAATTGCTCGAATATTCTGGAGCAAGTTACTTTGCTTTTTAAAGTCGAGTTGGAAGTGTTCAAAGTGGTTTAACTGCTAAAGGGTGAAATGAACATCTATCAAGGTAATTTCCAGGTCTATTTGTCACTTTATTTTGTGACTTTAAATATTATTATTGTTGCTGTCATCAAAATAACTATGTTCCAGGCATAACATTGGACATTTTACACACAGTAGTTCATCTAATCTTAACAATAATCCTGTATGTAGATACAGCTATGAATATAAATCTTCCTTTCACAGATGAGGAAATTGGAGACTTAGTAAGGGTAAGTAGTTTGCCATGGTCACTTAGCTGGAAAGTGTCTGATTCTGGTTAATTCTCCTATTAGACTTTAAGCTGCCTGAAGAGAGGAGCCAGTTCTTTTATGAACAGCACTATTTCCCATCATGTAAGGCAGCACCTTGTCCTCAGTAGGGGTCAATAAATATTTATCAGATGAATAAATGAATCCAGGTGTGTCTGACCCCAAATCTTTGCCATGAGTCCCTGTGCTATCCACTCTCCCATATACACCCTGAGCCCAGGACTTAATGGTGAAAATCACAAACACTTTAAAAGGAAGAGTAGAAAGTCTAAGATGTCAAAAGCAAACTATGCCAAACAAATAGGAATGGATGATGTAAATATGCATTTTTCTTTAAAAATTGAGTGAGATCCTTCATTTTGTTTCTTTTTAAGGTAGATCCGCATTACCTTTTAGGAGTCAGATGTTATACCAGAGAAGGTGCACTGAGGCTGCCTGTGGGGTTGTTATTTGATCCCTTTCAATAGATCTTTATTAAAACCTATACTTAATTTAATGTGATATTCCAAGAGGGTTGATGATCACATAAAGAAAATGATGAATGTCTCCCTAAAGTTAATGTTAAAGTAATAGAAATGAAGCCTCTACCCACCTCCTCTACTTTCCTAGGCAGCAGGTACAGAAATAGAAGTGAAAAAGAAACATTACCATTGTTAATTATCATGATCAATTTACAAATGTCTCTTTTGTCCTGAAACACATTTTTTCTCAGAATATTTCACAAATAGCACCCAAGATGTGTAACATTTGGATGCAGCTATTAAGTGTAGTGTTGATTTAAGAATCTGTCAGTAACCAATTCAACACTTAGGTAAACATTTTATAGAAGTCACAGAAATGAAGAGAAAATAAAAGCTCATATTTCTAAGTAGGTACAAATACCTCGAGTGAGGGAAAAGAGCCAAGAGGAAATAAGCCGGAAAAGTTCTTGAACAATAAAAATTGAATCAAACTAATATGTTCCTTTACCCAAGAAAGTTCCTGAAATATCTTTTGTAAGTCATACAATGCTTCCTTTATACACCAGGTGAGCAGTGTGACTATCCCTATTCCCGATCTGTGGAAGAGTTAAAATGGCAATTAGAAGTAATGGAGAGGGTCAGCTATCAGTAAGCACATAATAAAAACTAGAATGGCACTTTGTTACAAACATCAAGACAATTTGAAAAAAAAGAAAGAAAAGGCATGGTCAACAAAATATCTGAGTTTGAAATCACTGAGTATAAGGACACCTCACAGATATCACCTCATAGACCTTGGTTTTACAGAAAACTGAGGAGATTCATCTCAGTAATGATAATTGAAGCATCCATTTAATTTATAGTATTGTTCTGCATGTAATTTATTTTAGAAAAATGTGATACATTTTAGAAATATCACCATGGGAATACTGGGAGGCAGAATGAGCTAGTAGCTAATTGAGCAGACTGTCTACCCTACACTATCTGTGGGGTCCAAACTCACTGTGCTTCACTTTCCAGTCTGTATAATGGGAGTAATAGAAGCTACCTCAAAAGACTCTTGTGAGGGTGAAATGTATAAAGGCATTAGAAGACTACTTGGAACATCGTACACACTCTATACATATTATATATTATTATCTCAAGCAGATAAAGTTTACTCAGCAAATCTTTATTAAATGCTTAATACGTGCCAGAGAATGAGGTCAGGGGGCTAGTGTGGATGGATGAGAAGTGGATGACTTGAGGTTGCATTTTTGCCCAACATCAGCAAGGGCTTGATTTTAAGGGGTGTGAGGAAAAGAGAGACAGCAAAGATAATTTCCAGGTGTTGGCTTGACAGGGATGCCACTTATTGAGAAGGAGGCTATTTGAGGAAGAATAGGTTTCAGGGTCAAAATTGTTTTTTGGTTTTGTTTTATGTCAAATTAGTGATATTAATCGAAGTGGTGATAGCTGGATAAGGGAATTGGGGCTCAAAGTACAGATCAGTTGGAGAAATGGTTTTCTAGGAAACAATGAAAAGACGGGTATCTAAAATTTGCTCCGTTTAGATGTCGAGTACACAGAAATTGTCCTTGGTTCCTTCAGAGCATTTTGTATCAGCCTACTGCCATGTAGTAGGCTCTCTTCTCTCTTTTCTTCTACTCTCTTCTCTCTTACCTCCTTCTCTTCTCTTTTCTCCTCCTTCTTTATAGCAGCAATAAAGCCTTTGTTTTTTTTCACCAGAACAATAAGCCAGCTAGTCAGTTTCTATCTCAATGTATTTTTCTAAACCAAAAGAGTGCTCTTTTCAGGAGAAATTCTGTTGCCAGCTTGTAATTTTTGCTTCCTCCATAGCATGATTCAATGAGCTATGTCTTGTTTCTATTAATAAAGTATAACTTCTTGTGAGAAAGAAGATGGCATATAATCGTGGACCTGATTTTGGATAATAAAGCACATCCAAAAGTCTAAATGAAACACACACTGAAGTTTCTTCTGAGTGCTTTCTTGTTCTCCTTAGGTCATTTTAGTGACTGTTTTTAGTTCCTTAAATTTCTAGGTTACCGCTTTGCTGATACAAATCGCGATATGGATAATTCTAAAACTTTCTGGGCATATACTTAACTAAATACAGCATATTAAATTCAACAAAAAATTAATAGCCTCATAGATGGATCTTCACTACCTTTTAAAATAAATTCTCAGATAACACTGTAGAATTCAAATTTTGGAAATTAGATAAATTTCAGAATGACTTTTAGTTTAATGCCAAAAAAAAAAGAGCTATTAAGCCATGAAAAGACATGAAGGAAAATTAAATGCATATTACTAAGTGAAAGACACCAATGGGAAAATACGACATTGCATCATTTCAACTGTACGACATTCTGGACTAGGCAAAACTATGGAGACAGTTAAATGATCAGTGGTTGCCAGGGGTGGGAGGAGGAGTGGAGAGATATACAGGCAGAGCACAGGGGATTTTTAGGGCAGTGAAAATACACTGTGTGATATTATAATAATGGACAAATGCCATTATAAATTTGTTCAAACCTGTAGAATATACAACTCCAAGAGTGAACCCTAAGGTAAACTACAGACTTTGAGTGATTATGATGTATCAATGTAGGGTCATACTTGCTAAAAAATGTACCATTCTGGTGAGTGACGTTGATAACAGGGGAGGCTATGCACGCATAGGGGCAGAGGGTATATGAGAAATCTCTGTACTTTCCTCTCAATTTTGTTGTAAACCTAAAACTTCTCTAAAAAAAAGTCTTTTAAAAAATGCCCTTTAGAGTAAATTATCCGTTTAACCACTATTTCTTGTAGTGTTGCACTGGGAAATTTACTGTCATGAATTCTATTGGTTTTTTTTTAAGCCTCATTGGAAATTTAGGATTTTGCACGCAAATGTGAAACACTACTCTATATTTCATGTATGCTATGGGTGTATTTTTTAAAGACATCTTTTCTTTCTGTGTCCTTGCCGTAGGCTACATATCGAAATCGAATTGTGACCCAAAGTCTCAGCACAAGGGACAGAAAAGCAATGCATACTCCCACCGAGGACCGTTTTAGATACTCAGCAGCTGACCAGACAAGCCCTTACAAAAGCAAGGCCTGCCAACTATCAAGTCTATGTTTAAGTAATTTCTTGAAGGACAAGGAACTAGCAGAAGTTATCAAACACTCAAGAGGAACTTACGAAACCCTCACATCTGAGGTCACCCAGAACTTCCGGCCCACTGTAGGGCAGAACTCTCTGAAGCCAACAGCTAAGACCGAAGGGCTCGCCACATTCTCAGAGAAACCAAAGGACCAAGCTGCTGTGGCCCGACAGCATTCAACCTTTACAGGCAGGTTCGGACAGCCACCTAGAGGGCCAATCTCTTTACACATGTACAGCAGGAAGAACGTTTTTCTCCATCACAATTTACACACCACTGAGCTGCAGACTCTAGGCCAGCAGGATGGGTAATTAAATCACCTATTCCTGTCTCTAGGTAGGATAAAGATGGTTAGTGTTTCTCGTGCATAGCTCATATTCAAATTGTCATGTACTTATATTACTTTCATTTTTAGTTATAAACAAAGAATTGTGCACTTTTTGTTAGAATGAAGGTTCAAGCATGTTAACTGAATTAGGTTTAATAGCCTTCAAGACTATATTATATAGATGTATAATAAATGGGACCATCTTGCTGGTTTATATAGTCCATACTTTATCTTTTATCTTGATTGGTCACTGATATGCATTGAAGTTTCAGAAGGTAATATCAGATAGCACTCTGTTCACTTAATGGTGTCACTGTGAAAATAGATGTGAGGAATAAATAGATGAAGAAATCGTAAAGAATCTTAAATTACGTAGTTAATAGAAGGAGAAGAGAAGAGGGATTTTAAAGTCTTATATTTGGTGGTGTGTTTATTTGGAGAATGAAGCTTGCTTGCATGTAAGCTAGAGATGCATCTGTCTCTCTATTACATACATTCAAGCTTATCTTGCCATACCATGAAGGGGGAAAAGGCTATTTCTTTTATCCTCTAAATGTTTAGTTCATACTAGTTCACAAAGGATTTCAGACTGAGTAATTGCTAGCCAAATAGAGAATGACAGCTCTGATCTTTGAAAAATTTTGCTTTTAGTTATTGCTATTGGTGTTGAAGTACTATGACATAACACAGTGAGGTGGTAAAGTTGGCTGAATTTTGTCAAATGATGCATAAAACACGACATGCTATGCTCTTTGAGTCACTATCATGGCAACATCGGCATATTTTTAATAATTTGAGGGATGGAGCATTCTAAGAAAATTACTTTACTTCACTTTCCTTGTATTGTTAAATTTTTCACTTTTTTATGTATGTCCAATTTTGCTCTATATACGTCAACCCATGACCCAACTCTACATGATGAGTTGAGGAACAGAAAGTCAGTTTCCTGGTAGCCCAGTATACACTATTCTAACTATTCCACCTTCTAGGGTTAGAAGAAAAGGTAAAACATATGTGAACTCTCAATTTGCTCTTAGAAATAAATCTCTAACAGGAATATTTAAAGCTCATTTGATGCAAATATTTCTCTTTAAAAAACAAGGCTTAACATGTTTCACACTTAAATGCACATGCGATAGATCAATACACCTAAATAAAATAACTCCTTTATGTTTAATTAATAACAGTTGTATGTAGCTATAGAAATAAACAAATAAACAATAAATAAATAAATATATTTTCAAATGATCAGGAGGGATCAGGGCCCCATTTTTCTTATATAAAGAAAAAAGCTAGTAACTGTATCCACATTAGGCATAATCCATGCACACTGAAATTGTCACACCTACTGCATGAACTGCTGCCCTTGCATTCTCTGACCGACTCTATCAGCATGCACAAATGAAAAGAATAAAGGGAAACTGAGATAGCAGCTTTAGCATGGCATCTGACTAACCTGCTTAAATTAAAGCTACGTGTGAAATGCATCTCCTAATACAAAAATGGATTTGAGCTCTATGCTTTGGCGAAAAGCCATTAGATCTGCCCACCTCCAGCTTTAACTATTAAACTTTGACCAATTTGCAAACTTTGGTTGGAACTGGTAAGAGTAAAGAGTCTAGTGAATATGTTGTACTTGTAATTTTTGTTTTCCAAAGGAAGACACATGTGCATCAAGACAAATGTTTGCCAAATGTTTTCTTTCTTTGCCTGTTTGTAATGCTGCCAAAAGAGAACAATACACACTGCAAATTGCTCGGCTTAATGAGACTGCTGTCTACAATTCCCACTATACTTTAAAAGCTATAATATTCATGCAGCTACACACTTTGGGCTGGGCAATATTTACAAAATGGTAGAAAAAAGATGATGATTAATTGTGGAATTCAGCTTCATTTGTCCTGAAAGTTGGTGTGTGTTGCTAGAGTATTTGAAGTTTGTAAATAAATTAGCATGAGAAAATAATCAAGGATTTTTTCCCAGGATATGGAAGAGCTATGTATCACAAATAATGTTTTTGATTTGGACTTTTGGAGTTTATAGTTTTCTTTTCCTAGAAGATAGACTTTTGAATTATACTTTGTAAAAAAAAATCTATTTAAGAAAATCTGTCATTTAATAGACATTTTAAGAGATGTTTTAAACACTAGTATTTTCTTGAAAAATCTTTTTTAAAGCTGAAGCATTCAAAAAGAAAACCTGGATTAAACAGTTCAATTTTAAAAGGAGGGGTATTTTTTGGAAATATCATCTTAAAGCTGTTTTGTATCAGTATTTTCAGCATTGTTATAATATTATTTGTAATACTAAGTGTAACTCAGGCCTGGAGAAGGTGTAAGCCCCATGCTAATGTACATCAGTTACTGTAAACAGGGGTCCTCTGTAAGTTACTCTTGTGTATATGTAGTAACTCATAACAACGGCATGTGGGCATTCTTTCAGCAAATTGATTTCTTTGTACTAAAATCTCTAGTTTTCTAAGACAGTTCCATGTATAAAAGTGATTTATACATTTCTCCAAGGCGGTACATATCCAAAGACCTGACTCCAGGGGGAAAAAGTGCTTGTTGTTCTGATGGAAGCCGTCGTCTCCTCTCTCCCTCCCTCTTTCTTCTGTGCATGTGTATGTGTAGCTGAGCCTAAGTAACCCTGTAAAACTTCTGCTGCAGATGGTCTCTTCTGAATCTAGAAAGTGTTTTAAGGGGCACTTAAGAAAAGATACTCCTTAAAGAAGAGCTGTTTCCACCTGAAATAAACTGTTCCCATTTTTATAATTATTCAAACATGCAACTGTGTTTCTGTGAACTCAGTGATTTTTTTTCAAATAATTTTATATGCTAACAGAGTCACGGCAAAACTATGAATTATCTCTCAAACTATTTTTGCTTCTTTGGGGCACCATAGTCTTTGTGCAAATCACACTGTGAAACTGTTGCTGCACCGCTAACAGTGTGAACCTACCAGAGTCGATATGCTCAGGGCAAGAACCTAGAGCCACATGTTATTCAAGCGCTTTTAGTTATTTATTCATTGAGATATAAATAAAAGAGCAAGCCTCTAGTCGATATTACACATTTGTAGACATGCCCATACATACCTAACTTAAAATGTTTACAAAGATTTTCATGATTAATCTGAGTTTATGACCTGTGTTTTATAGTTTATATTCCCCAAGATTTAATCGTAGCCCATTGTCATTATTTCCTGAGTGTTATTGAATTCAAAGGAATTCATTGCATTCAAAGGAAATGTCACATATTTTTTGTTTTCTTTTCCTTGTGTGTTTAATAGAGATAATACCTCCCTAATTTGTTAATATTTTCTTTTTAAATTATCATATATTTAAGGACCACGTCTCTAGGATAAATCAACATGTTCCACTAGTCCTCCCAGGGACTTTCTTAGTTGTTGATGGAACAGTAGGAGCAGCTTATTGAATGGCGAATGCTATTTCTCCAAATTCATTATCCACATTCAGTATCACCTTTCTCATTATCAAGAAGTGGTAGTAACCCATTACATTGGGTAACTTGGACTAATCGGTATAATCTTATTCATCCCACTTTTTCACTTTCAGAATTTTCCATTCTGAATACCTACAGAGGTAGGAAGTGCTTCGAAAAGTTCCTTATAACACCACTGAGCCACGTGCAGATCAAAGTGGATAAAGAAAGGGGGATAACTGTGAAGGTGCTGTCTTGGTTGCCGTCCATATGACTGAATCACATTCCCCATTGCCTGAGGCCTTTCCCTCAGTGATATATCTGTTTAAATGCAGCACTGATTCATTTCTGCTAGGATTTTTTTTTTTTTATTTTTTTAAGGAAGATTAGCCCTGAACCAACATCTGCCAATCTTCCCCTTTTTTCCTAGGAAGACTGGCCCTGAGCTAACATCCATGCCCATCTTCTTCCACTTTTTCTTATATGTGGGACACCTACCACAGCATGGTTTGCCACGTGGTGCCATGTCCGCACCCGGGATCCAAACCGGCAAACCACCGGGCCGCAGAAGTGGAACATGCACACTTAACTGCTGCGCCACCAGGCCGGCCCCTCTACTAGGATTTTGATTGCATTCTGGGACTTCACTCTACTGAGGCATTATTATCAGGTCTTTTCATGTATTTTAATTTTTTTTGTACAAAAGATAGTTCAGTCACACATTGATATTCTTTGAGAATTTACTGCTCCTGCAATTCAAACATCTTTTTTTGTTCTTTTCCCATGTGCTGACTTTGTCATGCTATATCTAAACACGAGGCAGAGATGACAGAAAATATAAACTAATTTGAGTTCTTACAAAAAAGCTAAATTACACCATAGTATAAAAGCAAACAGCCAACTACCAACCAACCAACCAAAACAGCCCACTTCTCCAGTACACATTATCATGGCCAAATTTTTCTTTTTTAAATCTTAATCTGTGCCAAGTTCTTTCACAAATAGTTGGAACCACAAATATATCCGCGAATTATTTATTTACTATAAGTTTGATCTGGCTCACAAGCTAGATGCAGTTCCAAGTAGTGCCTCCCCCCACCCCCACACACACAAAAAAGTCAAAGAGATCATTTTCTAGGTGTGTTATCGACGGAAAAGAATGAAGGCAGTCTACCCTATTTTAGAGCTGGAAATTTCCTGCAAAAATTGTGACATAGTAAAAATTCTTAATTAATACAGAGTAGTTTGTTCCGTTTGAGTAAGTAATCTAGAATGTGGGATATCATGGTTCTTTCTAAAGAACATTCAGTACATCCCCACTAACTTCACCAGTTTAATCTAACACACATACTTTTTCTTCCTGAACATAAAATTCAAGAAAAGGAGCCTTCTACTTCTTCTTATCCTTTCCAAACCTTACTTCATTGCTTTACTTCATTACTTGCTTGCTTACTATAGCAAAAACAATCGACTGTATGGCTCCAGCAATAGATATGTATTTCCCACAGTTCTGGAAGCAGGGAAGTCCAGCATCAAGGTGCTGGCTGATTCAGTTCCTGGTTTGCAGACAGCTGTGTCCTTCTTGCTGTGGTCTCACATGGCAGAGAGTAAACAAGCTGTGGTCTGCTCCTCTTCTTATAAGGTCACTAATCCCATCATGGGGCCCTCCTCACGACCTCATCTAAACTTAGTTACTTCCCAAAAGCCTCGCCTCCAAATACCATGATGTTGGGGTGAGGGCCTCAACATAGGAATTTGGGAGGACACAAACATCCAGTCTATAGCATTCGTTTTCAGCTTACAACAACCTTGTATGTTTGCAATTGTTTCATTCATTTCATAGATGAGATTAGAAAAGTTAGGTAGTTTTCCAAGGACAGGACATGCATAACTAGATGGGATTCCACAGCCTTGATCTTTCCATTTATACTCTGCTTACCTCCAGGGTAAACTCTCTCCCAAAGAGGCGGAGCGATGCCGCAATGTGTGCTGCCTCAATCTCCTTTACTCTTCAATTCCCTTGATATTGCTGGGGAGAAAATCGGAGCAATGATCTACTTTAGCAAACAGAATACCACTCATTCAAAAACATTTTTAGAACAATTATTGATGTTTATATCAACAAATACAGAGTCCTGAGAGGAAAGCTCTATTGTATTTCAAGGTTACCCACTAGAAAATCTGACATCCTAATTTCATTTCCTTGAAGCCATTTGGGAAAAATACTGAGAAATAATTTCATGTTATATTTTTAAAAATACGTGGTCAATGAAGTGTCTAATATAGGGAAATCATCCAGTAGATGAAAAAATAGCCTAGTTATCAGATTACTTTACTTCTTTTCTTCATTTTCTGAGGATGTTGAAGTAGATATCATTGAATTTGATATGTTTGTTTTGCCTTATGTACATTTAAAAAACTAAATCTTTACAAAATTAGCTTAGCTATTTCGATCTAGGGACAAAAATTACAGCTGATTTAAAGTTTCTTAAATATTTAGAAGGAGTTGAAATTAAATGGGAAATACAAATTTGTCCCAAATTTTTAACTAAAATACACTTTACTTTGCGGTTAATTATATATACCTGAATAATATCTGAATAAAGTATAATCCTACTTTGAATGGTCTCTTCAAAAATCTTGTTTTCAGGAAGGCAAGAGAATTTGAGTATTAACTTAGCCAGACCCTATTTTTACGGGGGAAAAACTATTTGATGTATTCTAATATATGTGGGTCTAAGATTATTAACATTTATAACAATATTTTCTATTCTCTAAAACTAAAAAATTAATGAGAAAGACAATAAATAGCAAATTACTCTGGAAGTTACAATTTTAGTATTATCGAATGCCATAGTGGAATTTCTTTTGTGGCTCTTGATTTTCCAATAAGGACACTGATTTTTTTTAATGGAAATTTCACCATTTGACTAATATTCTGAGGAAAAATTGATACACTTAAGCATGGCGATTAGAAAAAATATGCATAATTCCTCTGCAAAATAAATTGTAAAACAACAAATATGTTGTGTGGTACCTGACTGCTTTCATTATGGCATTAATTTATTCTGAACCTGTCTTGGTGATAGGTTGGTTCACACATGTATTCACACTGGGCATAAAGCAATATGATTTATTTCTGGGTTCTTGAGAGTTGTGATGATTGGAAAAAGGAAAATCAGCCATTTATTTCATCAGCCAGTTGACATGACTTCTATTTCCACTTCCTTTGCCACTAGGCTTTTCTTAATTTTTGATGGAACAGTAATGAAGTGCAATATCCCAGGGACCATTAGGGGACTATGCTGCTATCATTTCATTTCAATACATGGGAGGAATCTTTTCATTCTGGGCTATACTCTTTATCTCCATTTTCTACAACTGGTCATAATATATCTTAAAATGTTTTGATTTTATTATTTACAAAATCCTGTTCACTGTTTCTGTGTTCTGTAAAAACACAAAAAATACAAAATTCTTCTAAATTATGTCTCTGTCTCTGTCTGTCTGTCTGTCTGTCTGTCTCTCTCTGTTTCTCACACACACACACACACACACACTTTGAGCTTCCTCAAATGGCTGGAAGATGGATGATTCAGAACAGCTATTCCAGCATTTGAAACAGTGCATGACTATGCATCCGTTTGGCATCCATACCAGCCAATAGGGAAGAACATACATTTAAATTGCTATTGCAATAACTTGAAAGCATACCCAAACATTTTATGTTTAAACTCTTCAGGTGTTCTCTATAGCCTCACAATTCAGAGTAAATGGTGCTCCTCTGTTGTGTGCTTTTATATCATGTGATTTCAAAAGGTGAAATGAACTAATATGATGTATTTTAGAATTTATTTGTAACATGACCTTACGGTTTAAGACTCAGCCCATTTTCCTGACTACAGGAAGAGTTTTACTTTGATTCTGAACTCTATTTTCTGTAAAGAATGTCAAGAAGCACTGTATTGATTTACTGTTATTAAATCACTGAAGACATTAACTTTTAGGGGTTATTTTGAAGACTTTATGAGACCTCATAAACTCTATCTCTAGATTCTGTTGGTAATCATTTACAAACCCTTTGGTTATGATTATAATTAATCAGCACTGTCTTGTGGATGAATTATGCAGATATTTCTCTTTAAAATTTCAATTGTAAAACCATTTGAAAATATTTAAAATGGAATATTGATGTATATAGTGCTTATTATTTATACATTCTTTCAAATATTTTCATTTTTAATGTTATTTTCGATGGCTCTTACATATCTCATTCCATTTTATGGTTCTCTGTTTTGTTTTGTTTGCTTTTGAGGAAGATTAGCCCTGAACTA